ATGAAATAAATTGTCTATATCTGCAAAGCTGTCTCTAGTATGAATTTCACTGTCTTTTGTAATTCACTAAGCGGCCCGTAAAGTTTGACTTCAAACAAGTGTCTCTTTTGGCCAAAGGTTTTGCCTGAAAGCGTTGAATCTGGGACAGTCTTGAAGGATGTGATCTATTGTTTCAGGTGCCAGTCCACAAGTATACATGGCTGATTGGCCAATCTTAAATTTGTTGTACATGTGGGAGCGAAGTCTATTGTGCCCTGTTCTAAGGCGAAGGATAATGACTTGCTCTGGTCTGTCCATAATATGGTAATCATCTTGTGCCAGTTTCGATGGCATTCTGATTGATTTGATCATTCTCTTCTTCTGTTGATAAGAGACTGGTATGTTAGGTTGTTCTTCAGTTGCACCTTTCTTAGCTAGTTTATCAGCTTTTTCGTTTTCGGAAACTCCACAGTGGGAAGGTATCCACTGCATTACTAATTTACAGCGGTTGCCTAGTTCGGATAATAGTGTCCGTATGCTTGGTAATTTTCCAGACTGGAGTGACTGAAGTACTGCTTTTGCATCTGTCAGGAATACCACTGGTTGTGAAAAATACCCTGTATTTAGTAGTTTCTCTGCCGCTATCTTGATGGCTTGAACTTCTGCATCATAGTTGTGACAGTGCTTTCCCGTTGGTAATTTGGCTGTATCCCTGGTATTATTAGGATACTCAATGTACACTCCCGCACCTCCGTTTCTGACTGCGCTTTCTGCTGACCCATCTGTGTAAACACGGACCCAAAGGTTCTGCGGGTATTCATCATCAAGTAGACTGAGGGTGGCTGTTTTGCGCTGCACACTGTTTTGTTCTTCCTTGTCAAATACCCCTTTCACTTCAGTCTTGATGTGTATTGGAAACTTATACTCCTCTCTCCAGGGGTCCGTTCTGGGACAGCATTTAAGGATCTATCAGTTGCAGGTAAATCAGTGGTTTGTCTGCCGAGCCGTTTGGCCTGGTGGATAAAACTACTTCTCTTTAGTCGTCCCAAAGCTAAATTTTGGAATCTTTCATTCATAGGGTGACTGGGCATACTAAGAAACTTTTCTGCTTGTAAAAGTATCTTGGTGTCTCTGCGTTCACTCAGTGCTTGGGTCATCCCCATTTTCTCCATCACAGCTATAGGTGTTGATTTCATACTGCCTGTGGTAACTCTGAGTGCTTGATTTTGCACTTTGTCTAATTCTTGCAATGTGGTTTTTGATGCCGAAACTCCATGCTGTTGATCCGTATTCAAGATGTGGTCGAACACTTTGTTGGTAAACTTTTCTAAGTATTTTCCCGCTAGCACCCCATGTGGTTCCACTTAGTTTTCTCAGAATGGCTACCCTCCTTCTGGCTTTTGGTTGCTGCCTTGTTGATGTGTTTTCTCCATGTTAATCTATCATCAAACGTTACGCCTAGGTATGTGGGCTCCTTATCCTCTCTCAGGGGTACTCCATTTATGTGCATGACACCTGATTTTTGTTTAGGAGAAAGGGTAAAGAGGGTGGTGCTGCATTTGCCTATGTTGATGCTGACACACCATTTGTTGGCCCAATCAGCCATTGCATCTATGGCTCTTTGTAGCAGCCTGGTGGCCACTGTCGCATTTTCATTTGTACACCAGAGTACCAAGTCATCAGCATACATTGCAGCTTTAATTCCATGGGGTAGTTCAGAAAGCAGGTCGTTGATATAGACTAGGAAGAGTGTGGGGGACAGAACACCTCCTTGTGGGACGCCATGGCGCAGCAAAACTTTCTTACTCTTAAGTCCATCTATCTGTACTCGGGATCTTCTGTTATACAAGTATGCTTTCACCCATTTGTACATTCTCCCATTCACCCTGCAGTCTCTCAGTTTCTTCAGTAGACCTTCTTTCCAGACCTTGTCAAAGGCTTTCTTCAGATCTATCCATGCCGTTAGCACTAGCTTCTTTTCCTGGAAGGCATCCTCAATTTCTTGTGAAAGGTAAGTTGTCTGGTCTTCTGTGGAGTAGCACTGTCTAAATCCTGCCTGCTGCGGCGTGAAAATGTTTTCACTTTCCAAGTACCATTGGAGTCTAAGGTTGACAATACGTTCCATTGTTTTACAGAGGCAGCTGGTAAGACTGATCGGTCTATAGCTGGAAGCATCAAAACTGTCCTTTCCTGGTTTAAGCAGAGGTATTGTGATTGCTTCTCTCCATATTTGAGGAACTTTGCCACTGGTCCAACAATGATTAAAGATCTGTAGCAGCTTTTATTTGGGCAGTTGTTCCAAGGTTCTTGATCATTTCGTTGGTGATACCATCAATTCCAGGTGATTTTCCCATTCTCACCTTTGATATTGCTAACTCTAACTCGCTGGATGTAAGTGCTGCCACCAGTGCCTCAGGAATTATATCTTTTTGTCTTATATGTTGTGTGTTTTCTTGAACCTCTCGCTGTTTCTCTGGGCTGACATTAATGTTGCTGTCTTCTGCAAAGGAATCTGCAAAGTGGTCAGCTGCCTGTTTTCTTGTTAGGATGGCTCCCTCTTTGCATAGTGCAATATTACCATTTCTTCCTGTATTCTCATCATTAATTTGCTTAATTAACCTCCACAACTTCCTTGTGTCTCTTTCAAAGTTTAAAGACTTTGTCTTTTCTTGCCAGCTTGCCCGTCTAGCCTGCAGTTTGGCTCTTTGAAATTTGGCCTTTGAATGTTGGTAGTTGTTAAACTGCTCTTGACAAGGTCTGGTCTCAGCTTGTTTTCTTTCTGTTTCCATATTGTTGTGCAGTAGCTCCAGATCGCAATTCCAGTACGGTTTGTATTGTTTACGCGCACCTCTTGGAACTGCTTCTAGGAAGTAAAGACGGCTGGCGTGATGTTGACCATATTACCCACCTAGTTCCGATTGGTCTTGGTCTATAAAATGTAGGTCTAGCCCTATATGCCCAAAACGCATGAAGGCGTGGAAAAGGGTCCTTTTTTTACATGATTTTTTTTTTTTTTTTCATCTTACATATTTTTTTTTTTTAATGAACAGGATCTCCCTTCCACTGGCATCAGTGAGTGGTACACCCTGGAAGGCAGATCATCTCGCTCCAACATCCAAGGGGAAATCCACCTCAAGCTCAGCCTGGCAACACGGGAAGACAGAGGCGTCGCCGAAGATGACAACTGGACTGACGTGAGACAGCATGAAGATCTTATGTGTATTTTATCGAGTATGAGCTGAGGAAGTATAATGTACGTGAGTAGTGACCTTCAAATAACTGACTTCTTCTTATAGTTCAGTCTTTCCTGTTTCTTGAACTGCAGAATTCCGATGTCTGCAGAACAAATTTAAGGTGTCCGTGATATCATGGGCAAAACAAAACTCCCAAAAAACCTCAACTTTAGAATGCAAGTTTTTTTTTTTTTCGGTGTTGTTGTTGCGATTACAATATTTATAAATTAAAATACTTTTTTCAGTAGAACTAGCAAAAAAAGTAGAGTCCGTGACAGTCCTTTAAAAAAAGGTAACAATAAAAAAATATCAAGGACCCTTTTCCACGTCCTCAAAAGCAGTAGGCAAAAAGAGCTAGATTTAACTTTTATAGACCAGTGGTCACTCTGTGGGTCAGGTGGCCAAGATCAGGACAGTCGCTGGTCGGGACAGTCGCCGGTCGGGACAGTCGCTGGTCGGTACAGTCGCCGGTCGGGACAGTCGCCGGTCGGGACAGTCGCCGGTCGGGACAGTCGCCGGTCGGGACAGTCGCCAGTCGGGACAGTATTTGGATCTGTTTCTTTTGATGGCATCAACACTGCAGGAGTCTATTTCAGGACTCTTGGTGGCGTGCAATTCTAAGCCATTTGATGTGGCGCACATAACTGAGTCACAATTTTAACCCAAAGCTCCCTGTGCGGTAATAATGGCTGAAAGTGACAATTCCCCCTCCCCCCTTTTTCAGCACAGCTCCACCACCACTCTATGCTACTAGTGCCATACAATAATATTAGTAACCGCAGAAATGTGATGTCTCAGAAGGGCTGCAGGAGTGGTCAGAAGAGATCAAATCAGAAATGAGGTCATAAGAGAAAAGGTCGGCATAGAACTAATTCTAAATTACAAGGTATACACACACATACACACACACGCACACGCACACACACACACACACACACACACACACACACACACACACACACACACACACACAACAAAACAAAGGAGAGGGTCGTGGAGAACGAGTAGACTATGAATAATATGAAAAGATAACATCAGAGAAACCCTACAACATCACGATGTGTTTATGATCAAGGCGGCCAGAACAGCAGGAAGCAGAATAGTAGTAGATCTCCCTCGATACTTGATGCGGTGAAAGAGGAGTTAAAGAAAAAGAATGTAAGCATCCAGTTACTGCGCTACAGTACCTGTCATACCAACATTATCGAATAAATGAATGAATCACCAGATAATAAATCGTGCAATTTATTGTCTTTTCATTGCCCAAATTGAAAATTAAAAGTTAGTTGTAAAAGTGTGTTTTTGCAATGTGCAGGATGTGGTAGAAACAACCCCAGCATCTAGACAACATAAAAATCGAAAGCTATAGTTACGGTGCCGGGAATTGAACCTGTCACCTCCAGACGGCGTCTGCGCCTCGCCATGAATACAAGTGCACTAAGATACATGGTCAACTAGGCACCCCCATTAAAGGTGTCTCATTGGCCATGTCTATCGTACAGCTTGAAATCCACGACTATGGAATACGGACAGAATTCATTTGTTAAAAACATAAGCTCCATTAATTTAAAAAAAAAAAAACACTCATTTGTTTTTGATAAGCGATTCTTTACTTAAGTAGTTTGACATTTCCAATTAAATGGTCAGGTTTTAATACCCTTGTTGAAATCAATGCAAAGTGATGGGCTGCCACATTGCCCTCGGCTGGAATCGAACCAGGTACCTCAGCATTACAACCCAAGTTCGCCGTTTGTCTGAGGTACAGATTATCCATTTGTTGCTCTCCAGGAAGCATCTTACACTTGGACGGGTGACCTGCCGCAAGTGGCCAAGACTATTTTGCATCAGCATGCCATTCAAGGTGACATCACCGAGTGCCAACAGGCAGTTTGGTCAGTCAACAATATCTGTCTTTACATTTTCCGGGGTTAAGTACACTGGGTTTTTATTTTAAACTGTCTTTCTGAAGTGATTGTATAGCAGTTGGTAGGAGCTATTGTAGCAGAGGATAAAAAGAACTGTGGTAACAGTGGATGATGATAAGAGCTAAGGTAACAGTGGACAATAAGAGCTGAGGTAATAGTGGATGGCTGGGGCTATGGTAACAGTGGTCTTTAGGAGTTACGGTTACAGTGATCTTTAGGAGTTAAGGTCACAGTGGTCTTTAGGAGTTGAGGTTACAGTGGATGGTTGGAGCTAAGGTAACAGTGGACAATAAGAGCTAAGGTAACAGTGAATGATGATAAGAGCTAAGGTAACAGTGGACAATAAGAGCTAAGGTAATAGTGGATGATGATAAGAGCTAAGGTAACAGTGGACAATAAGAGCTAAGGTAATAGTGGATGATGATAAGAGCTAAGGTAACAGTGGACAATAAGAGCTAAGGTACCAGTGGATGATGATAAGAGCTAAGGTACAGTGGACAATAAGAGCTAAGGTAACAGTGGATGATGATAAGAGCTAAGGTAACAGTAAACAATAAGAGCTAAGGTAACAGTGGATGATGATAAGAGCTAAGGTAACAGTGGACAATAAGAGCTAAGGTAATAGTGGATGATGATAAGAGCTAAGGTAACAGTGGACAATAAGAGCTAAGGTAACAGTGGATGATGATAAGAGCTAAGGTAACAGTGGACAATAAGAGCTAAGGTAACAGTGGATGGCTGGAGCTAAGAAAACAATGGTCTTAATGGGCTAAGGTATCAGTGGATGGTTGGAGCTAAGGTCACAGTGTATAGCTGGAGCCATGGTAACAGTGGTCTTTAGGATCTAAGGTAACTGGATATTTGGAGCTATGGTAACAGTGGATAGCTGGAGCTATGGTAACAGTGGTCTTTAGGAGTTAGGGTTAGAGTTGATAGTAGAAGCTAAGATAACAGTGGTCTTTAGGAGTTAAGGTTACAGTGGATGGTTGGAGCTAAGATAACAGTGGTCTTTAGGAGCTAAGTTATCAGTTATTGGATGGAGCTAAGGTAACAGTGGATAGCTGGAGCTATGGTAACAGTAGTCTTTAGGAGCTAAGTTATAAGTTAATGGATGGAGATAAGGTAACAGTGGATAGCTGGAACTATGGTAACAGTGGTCTTTAGGAGCTAAGGTAACAGTTGATAGTAGGAGCTAAGGTAACAGTTGATAGTAGGAGCTAAGGTAACAGTTGATAGTAGGAGCTAAGGTAACAGTTGATAGTAGGAGCTAAGGTAACAGTTGATAGTAGGAGCTAAGGTAACAGTTGATAGTAGGAGCTAAGGTAACAGTGGATGGTTGGAGCTAAGGTAAGAGTGGATTGTTGGAACTATGGTAACAATGGATGGTAGGGGCTAAGTTAATAGTGGATAGTAGGAGCTATGGTTACAGTGGACAGTATGAGCTAATGTGAAAGCTGAAGGTTAGGGCCATAGTAACCATGGATACCTGGAGTGACCTGCCCATTACATTACTTTCCAAGCCTGAAAGACTCGGCATTTCAACGGCCGCGTTCCAGTCTCGTTAATTCCCGTGCTCGGTATCACAGTATTGTCCTATGTATACCTACATGCTGGTCAACAGCTGCCTCTTCTTCAGTGAACTATTCCTACAAATATTCTTCTTTCTCTTCCTCCTCTACTCTTTCTATAAATAGCCTGGCCATAAATATGGCCTAAAGGCTGAACGCTGTTTCTGGGACTTCTTCACGGGTGATCCTCACCCACAAGGTGGCACATTGTGTCATGTCTTGGTGAAGTAGAAAGTCAGTCAGTCAGTCGGCTTATTCTCAGTCTAATGTTCTGCATATCTTATCTTTCATTTCACTAAGGTTGCTGTGATGAGATAATGTTGTTTTTTTTTTTTTGGCCATGGTTTTTTATCCTTGCGGATATGTTTCGTGTTTGTAATATTTAGCCTGTTTTTTAAATATGCCAGTTGGTACTCTTGTATTGTTACCAACTAACCAAACCATCTCTACTGATGCTATTTAATAAATAAATTGGTTTGTGTGTGTGTTTTTGTTTTTGTTTTGTAATGGTCGAAGTATTTCCTCTCCTCTTCTTTGCATTGACCAGCTGTAAATTCTGATGGATTGCTCTGGTTGTTCCTCCACTTAAGAATTAGGGGGACAGTGGGTTTGTTTGGTTTTCCCATTACTATTACAGTTGCAGAGTTATTGGGGATGGATGGGTGGTTGATTTGCAAACAATTGTTTTCAGTTTATAAAATACTAAAGGAGTACAACTGATTTGGACTTATTCAGAGATGAGGCGCCGTACCAAACATGACATCTGTAAATTCTGATGGATTGCTCTGGTTGTTCCTCCACTTAAGAATTAGGGGGACAGTGGGTTTGTTTTGTTTTACCCCAGAATGAGGCCCCGGACGCACATTTGGTTGAAGTATTACAGTTTCTGAGATATATTGTTGTTTACGAGACAGTTTTCCTTAATGTTCAGATGTTGTAGTTACATTTCTGTATGTTCATATAAAATCGCTCTTTTTATACAACATTACTATTACAGTTGCAGAGTTATTGGGGATGGATGGGTGGTTGATTTGCAAACAATTGTTTTCAGTTTATAAAATACCAAAGGAGTACAACTGATTTGGACTTATTCAGAGATTAGGCGCCGTACCAAACATGACATATAAGAGAAGAAAAAAATAGGAAAGGGACGTAGATTCTGAAGGAGACCAGGAACAAGACAGAAAGATAACCTTAGAGACAATCTAGAACAACTCAATGTTTCTGTTGTTAAAGCAACCATAAGAATAAGCACCTTAGATCTCCATCAATACTTGAGGTGGCAGAAGTGAAAATGAAGAAGACGAATGCGGTTTATTTAGACATGTTAAGTTTGCATTGAACAAAAAGAATCAACTTTGTGTTTCAGTCGATGGCAAGCCTACAGCAGGAAACACACAGAGCATCCCCTCAGCTATGACCTTCTGTATGACCTTTTGATTGACCTGGAGAGGTTGTATGAAGAAGGAGACTTGTCTAGAGAAGAGGTACAGTTTTCACATGTTAACTCAAGAAGCTATTTTTTTTTTTTTTGGTGCATTTTTTTTTTTTTTAAATTGTCATCATCTTCAGTCTTATAGTTCCATAAAACGCTGTGTGGTTGGGTCACCAGTTGCTACTGACTGGCTTATCAGATCTCTCCACCTCTGTGAATCACATGAAAGCATTTCAATGTGTTGCATGTCTGAGGCCTGTTCATTCACCCATGCTCTGTTTCCACGTCTTTCTTGGTCTGCCTCTTTTCCTCTTCAGAGTCCTCTAGTATAATTTAGGAGGGGCTGGCTGATCTTGTTATCCCCAGGTAGATTCCTGTGCCTCATTATGGGGAAAAACAAGGACAGACCCACAGCCTCCTTAACAAATGAGAGGTTTCTTTCAAAGTCAGAGTACATCTGCACGAGAGGCAAGGAGCCAAGAGTCTGCATACAAATAAGCTAGATCTGTAAAGCATACTTGCACACAATACTCACATTCTAGAACAAGACTAAAGTCTGTAAGTGGACGAACAACTGCAGTTTACAGCCGAGGAACATGAAGAAAAAGATTGTGTTACATGTCCGTAACATTACATATTTAATATACAATCCTCAATGTGTATTATTATTCTTATCCTCCAAGCCGTGGGGCGTTGGTAGTCATATCTATCCACACTTGTGCCTCGTGTGCCTCCAATCTTTGACATAAATGTTCTTCCACGTCAGTATCATCTCTAAGGTCTCCCTCAGCTTCTCTTCCGCTCAAGCTTTCCTTTTGCCACAACATACCTCAGTTCCCCCTTTCTCAAGATGAGATTAAGGGGGAAGGGAGGGGGAGACCTACCCAGTTCCCAGCTGTAACAAACATGTTGTAAAAAGCAACTAATTAGGAGTGTTTCCTTCAGAGTGAAGCTGCCTGAGAAGCGATGAACCAACAGTCTACTTACAGAAAAGCTACGTCTGTAAAACAGATGTGCATTTGAGACTTAAGTTCTGGAACAAGTCTTAAGTCCTGAAAAGGAACAAGTAAAATTCTCTACCGGAGCTCACAGCCGGCGAACACGAAAAAGAAAAGAAAAAGAAAAAAGAAAAGAAGTAAGAAGTACCTGATAACTCAGGTATTACATTTCTAAGGAAAGTAAGTAGAGTGAAAGACCCTTTTTCGTGTATGCCAGGCAGGCATCATCCTACAGTCATACCATATAGATCAGTGAGCCCTAGCTGAGGAGTGTGGTCACAATCACGCCGGCCGCCTTTATTTCCCAGTACATTACCTGGCATTTAAAAAAAAGGTTTAAGACGAGAGAATCCACTTCATTGCACCGAGTTTTATCCCATATGGCTCGGTCTTCCTCCGCAGAACGGCTAGCTGCCTGCCGAGAGCGCCGCGCAAAACACGAACTCCGTAGCTCCGGCAACAATCTCTCATGACCTCCGTAAAAATTGCATTCGTGAACGGAAGGGCGCAGCCGTATACCTGGCATCTAACGAAAATGTTGCAACATTACCCTCCAGGAAGAGAGTTTGGCTCAGTCTTTCAACTATTTCATCGAGTACAGTAAAAGTTTGCTGAGAAAGATCAGAGACGTCTACCCGCCCACCAACAAGGCAGCATTCTCTCGGTTGGAAATGATGCTGAAGTGAGTACACATTATCAGAGATATTGGAATGAATGAGTAAAAATGACAAATCAGCTACTTGTTTATATAGTGAAATATATCTGAGTATTGAATATTCAACATTTAAAATGGTGTCTCTGTATTCTTGTGTATGTGTGCATGAGAGATAGAATGAAGGGAAAAGAGAGAGAAAGAGAGGGGAGAGAGAGCGAAAGGAGAAGAGAGAAAGACAAGGGAGAAGAGAGAGAGAGAGGGCGGAGAAGAAAGAGAGAGGGAGAGGAGAGAGATAGGGAGGGGGAGAGAGACATTTTGAATTTTTGTTTTACTTTTCTAATCCAGGATTGCAGCCTAAAAATTGACATCCCCATTTTAAAAAAAAAAATTCTGAGAGGGGAGGGATTAGGAAAAAAGACCATGTTTTGAAATGTGACTAATTGTTGAAATTGGGTGTGTTGCACCGAGGGGAGCATATATCACAATCTTGCTGTAAACAGCATAACATAACATGCAAAATGAACAGGGACAAAGAAGAAGCAGCCTCGCATGCAATTTATATAAGATTCCTTTAATCTGATCCCAGCAGACTTCTGTGCTGACATCTTCAGCTAACTGCTGCAACACCTGGTACTTATTAGAGACTGTAACTGAAAACTGTTCCTTAACTTCTTTATCCTTGAGATAACCTACATTTTATTGGTTTCTATGATTATAAGATTTTATATATCTTTTAAGTTTCATCTTGATTTTACTTACCACCAGGAAATGGTCAGTAAATACATCGGCATCTCTGAAAGCCCTAACATCGTAAAGGGATGATCTAAACTTTTTGTTAATACGTAGGAAAAAATATTCTCCTATAGTAATGAAGCCTGAAAGATTGACACTCTGTGAGTTACTATCCAGATGCAAATCCAACAGGAGCATGTCTCAGAAATCATAAAGAAAGGGAAAGTGAATAAAACATAGTGTAAATATTAAGGTGAGGCAGGGGTCGACCACCGCTAAGATGGATACAGGACATTGAAGATGCATTGGCATTGAGAGTGGCCGGAGAGCTGGCTAGGGAAAGGGACACTTTCAGGCGTGCCGTGAAGAGAACAACATTATGTAAAGGACTTGCTAATTGATGATGAGAATTATTAGGCCACTTGAACTAAGTAAAGGACAATGTAATGAGCCATCCTGCATATGATACATGGCCCATATTGATATTGACACATGATAGTTGATATTGTCAACATCAAGTAGGTGTAAACTTGGGTGCAAACTTCAACTGTTCCAACATGCTAAGAGAAGAAATACAATCTAGAATACAATGTGGAAATAAAGTAAACTATGCCCTTCAGCATCTGCTAAAGTCAAAGTCTCTATCTCACAACACCAAGATCAGAAAATATAAAACATTGATTTACCCATTCCCTCAGTTTCCCCTTTCAGTGCATTTCTGCTGATTCTCTGTTTGTCTCTTCCCAGAATGTATCCAACATAGCGCTACCTTCTCTGTCTTATAACTGTTGATACGAGTGGTAGCCCAGAAGTTAGTCTCAATTCTTTACCTCTCTTGAATTCATTCCACTTGTATTATATGGCTCTGAAACTTGGAGTACAACTAAAAGAGATGAAACATTATTACCAATTTTTGTACACAGAGTCTTATGACAAATCTTTGGACCCATCAAAGATGCAAACAGTGGGGAATGGAGAGTGAGAAGCAACAACAAAATTAGTCATGTTTTAATCCCCATCGATCACTGGCATCATGAGAGCTAATAGACTGAAATGGCTGGGGCAAACTGAGAAAATGTCAGATGACAGAGAGATGAAAACTATATACACAAGGGAGCTGAATGGTCATAGACCATGAGGCAGACCAAAAAAACGATGTAGAGATCATATCCAGACAGACCTATAGACACATAGTGTCACCAACTGGAAAGAGAAGGCCAGCAAGAGAGGCGGGTGATATCTGCAACAATGAACCTCAAGGGCTTGGAGTGCTGAAGAAAAAGATGTGGTTGTAAACAGATCATCCTTAACACCATTAGAACATATAGGACGATAGGACTGGCACTATTAACTGCACAACGCTGATTAATATGTTGAGAAGGGAATCTGAGCGCCAATGGATGTGTTCGGAGTGATGTAAAGATAATCTAACCCATAACTCACATTAGGAAGTAAAAATGATAGGCACGCCAAGAAAAAAACGGAGAAATTAGCATGATACTGGATACGAGTAGCACAGGTTAACAGATACAAGATTGTTTGGGTGATAGAGAAAAAAAATAAAAGAAGAGAAAAGGAAAGAATGCAGAGAAGAGGGGAGAAAAAAATAGGAAATGACAAGGGAAAGGGTGGATAGCAAAATTAGAAAGGATGAATAGAAAGAGAAGAGGCAGAGAGAAGGAAAGGCAAGAAGCGATAAGGGTAGATGGGAGAGAGGGGAGGAGGAATAGCAAGAGGATAGGAAGAGGAGAAGGAAAGGCAAGAGGAGATAGTTGTAGCAGGTGGAGAGAGAAGGAGGTGCAGCAGCAAGAGGAGAGGGAGAATGGCAAGAGAAGAAAAAGCATGGAAGATGGTAGCAGCTGCATCAAAAGAAGCAGAAATGTGATTACATTCTTGATCTTTCTGCAGAATCCAACAAGAGGCTATGTATTACAAAATAAACTACATAAATTAAAGAATGTACATCAACCTTCATCCTCTGTTATTTTCAGATGTCTTTCAAGTTTGCATTCTGCTGCTATCTTCAAGAAATGCTGTCCATTTCACAGAGAGCTGCATTCAGAAATTCTAAGTCTGGTGAAGGTGAGGTGAATTATATTTACTTGTACATAAAAATTCACATTCCTGACAAATCTGTTTCTTTCTTAATTTCTGCAAGATGTGGACTCTTTTAGCACAGCCTGTCTCTGATTCTCAAAATCATGAGCTGTCTTGATCCAGGTATTATCATTTTGTCAACCTGGGTCAAAGCCTTTTTAACCTATTTTTTTTAAATACAGAAAGAAAGAAAAGGGAGGAGGGGGGGAGACAATCTTAAGTTTTTAGTTTCAGTTTCCCATTATACATGCTAACAATTGTCTCTATATGGTAACTGACTGTGAAGTTATTTTTATTTTCGCAGTTTCTACTACATGGCTAGGATGATTCTCAGCCCACACCACTGTCTTGTGTACTGCCAATTATTTTTATAAGGATGTTTCCCCATACAGGGATTCCGAAATGTGCAGTGTCTTCTCTTCTAATCTTATCTGTCTTTCCCAGGAAGATCAAATATAGAAATTGGATAGTATAGTATTTATGGCTTCATTCAACATGCTACCTGAATAAAAAAGGTGCCCACAGATTCCACAGAATTCCTAATCAGCTTCCTTTCTAACAGGGAAATTATTAACACAGTAGTGTCAAATTATATATACATATCTAGATTTGTATTCACTTGGGTGTTTCCTGGACCTATAAGGTGAGAGGAAGCAAAGAATAATAACACTGTTCTTGTGTCTTCACATGTGTATAATATACATATAACTTCTCTCACCTTTCTAGAAAAGCACTGTTGAATGGTTTGAACGCAAGCTAAGTGCATGTCTACTTCCATCTCAGGTAAGTAAGGTAACTGCTAGTATACTGCAAGCCACTTTAAGAGACACACATTTAGGCACTCTTAGTGACATACATTTTGATACAACATAAAGACATGGATGGACACCAGTCTGACAGAGTGTATAACCAAAACAAGAGATTATTTGGGAGAACCATTGCTGTTAACTGTCATTGCGAAAACCGCACCTGATTGGTAGTCTGGTAGTCTGGGAGTCTTGGTTTCAGCTTCATAGCAAACTGGTCATCCCATCGTTGCTGCGCTCCTGTGCCAACGAAAAACACACATAATGTTTTTCAGTCTCTTGTGGAAAGATTGACAGACTGCTGTCTCAGCATATCTAGCATACACACGCATTAAAAGCATAGGGTAGCCATCCGAAGTGCTAACACAAACAGTCCGATGTAGTTCTTCATTGATGGTAGCAGAAGTCACCAACAGATCAGCAGTTGCACACACATACAATTTTAATCACATAAGGGCACCACCAACATTGTGACAACAGGCATCGCGCCATTTTCACACCACCACGTTGGTCACAGTCGAAAAAACATTCTAAATGAAATCCGCAGCTCACAGTGTTATGGCATGCATTTAACTCAGAAGCTGGGCGTTGAAACTATATCATTTCAGTCTACAAATGGAGCAAAAATGGCTCCATTATACACAAATGAATGCCCTTTAATTTGATACCAGCTTCAATGTAAAGCACCCTTTTCCAACACATTTATACAAACTGGGCACATAGATCTAGACCTATACTTTATAGACCAATCACACTCAATGGATGACCCAGTCAGCATCCCCTACTCTCCAAATCTCCTCAGACCTAGGTCTAATACTATATGGCAAATGGGGCCCTCATAAATGGGCCACTGAGGGGAAAGAAGTAACTGCTTTACTGTCATGCAGCACACCATACATAATCAGATATTGTACCTGTGTTATTACACCTTCTAATTTCTTCTGACTCATTTTGTAAAGAAACATAGGGTAGCCATAGGGTAAGCCTCAAAAAGGGATTTATGCAGACAATGATGGAGGTGGGTGATATCTGCAGCAATGAACCTCCAGGAGCTCAGAATGTTGAAAAAGAAGATGAATTTCATCTCAGATTACTTTAAAAAAAAATTTGGCTTTATATTTTAACATACAAACTAGTGCATGTTGTGATATCAGGTGTTTAGAGGTTGCCTTTTTGAAAAATTTACAGTTGTAGTTATTGTCCAATTTAAGTGCCTGGTGTAAAATTTCCCCTGGCTGAAAGAGTAAATGTGAAACCAAACTTAGATATATTGTTTCCAATGATATATTTATATAGCTCAGTCTGTTATAACATCTATCAGCTTTCAAAGCTAGATACAGGTTATTTCTATGAAAAAAGTGCAGGCACTTACCAGAAAGTGGCCAAAACAGGTTCTAGTACTCACAACAGGGTGGTGATTACAGTAGTGGTTAACAAATGATGCTTCAAAAAGGGTTCTGGTACCACTTACCATTGCATTTCTTCCACACACAAAAATCTGGTTAGATGTGGCAATAAACAAATCTCTTCATGTTGATTTATAAATGACTGGTTAGCTAGAATGAATACTTATACGATTAATACATAATCTATGCAATATTGTATAATCAAACATAATTTGTAGACATAATAGCTATCCATTATTGAAACAGAAAACAAAATACTCTATATATATCAATTTTTACCCAGATGGGTTGAACAAGATATTGCTGATTAAATTACTACTACTACTATCTGTTTATTCTTCTTCTTATTCCTCTTCTTCTTCTTCTTCTTCATTTGACCTTAAAAGGACACTATGCACATTTTGTTTTACAGCTAGGATGTGACATCTGGGAAAGTGGTATTTAATACCCCAATAATGAAACCTCAGAAATCACACAGGGAATCTTATCTAAAATATTTTACAGTTAAAAAAAAGGCAGAAATTTATGCCAAGACATTACCGACACTATACAGGATGAATTAAAAGAATAAGATTTAAACACAACAGCAGTAAAAGGTTTAAACCATTGCTGGCTAAAGATTAGGTATTGTTTTAACAAACCTGGTGAACTAAATACATATATGAACAATTATTGATGCCTTCCACAGAATGAGGATCAGCTGTTACGAGGGCTGATAGAACTGTGCAATCAACTGAATGCTGACGTCTACAAGGCTTACCATAATTATAACTCTCTATTTCTGGAGTAAGGCTTACCTTTTATGCAGTATATGTTTTATTATTATTTTTGAACATTATCAAATGCCATAATGGTTTTCAGAGAACAGTAATAGAGGGTATGGTTCCTGGAATAGGGTCATGTTTCAGTGGAAATACAACATCAAGGGACCCTGGGTATGAAAGGTTCATGAATGAGGAAAGTCAGCAAGGGATCTTTTTCTTCTTTTTAGCATTCTTCTTCTTCTTCTTCTTCACTTCCTCTTTTACCGCTGTGGGTGTCGAGGGAGATATAAGGTTCTGTTTCTAGCTCTTCTGGCTGCCTCGACCATAGGCACATCGTACTGTTGTAGAGTTTCTCTGATGTTATCCTTCCATCTTGTTCTTGGTCTACCACGTGCTCTACGTTCTTCTTCTCTTCCCATGTATGCTTTGTATGGTATGGTGTCACAAGGCATTCTCTCTAAGTGGGCAAACCATTTCACTTGCTGTCTTTGTATGTAATCCAGAATTGGTTCTGTGCCGACTTGTTCTCTTATGATCTCATTTCTGATCTTATCTCTTATGGTCACTCCTACAGCCCTTCTCAGACATCTCATTTCCGTGGTTACTAATTTTCTTTTATGGTTTGTTGTGAGTGACCATGTCTGGCACTGGTAGCACAGAGTTGGAATAAATATGCTTTGAATAAGATGTCTCTTTGTGCTGATTGGGATTGTCTTATGCTGTAAGAGGGGGGCTAGCTGTCCCAATACTTGGTTTGCTTTACTGCATCTAATGTCAATTTCTTTATCCAATTTCCCATCTTCGGTAAATGTAGTTCCCAGATATTTAAACTCAGCTGCCTGTTTAATGCCTTTGTATTCTATTGTTATGTTTAGATCTGTCTTATTTTTTCCTATTGACATTACTTCTGTCTTTTCAGTGTTGATTCTCATATTATTTGTTTTACATTCTTCATTCATGGATGTTAGATGTTGTTGCAATTTCATGGCTGTATCTGCTATCAAGGCCTGGTCATCTGCAAAGAGTAATTCGTTGATCTTACTAAGATCTTCATTCATGGGCTTGGCATTCTTGCATATACTGTCGATGTAGGTGATAAACAGCAGTGGTGATAAGACACACCCCTGTCTTACTCCAGATGTCACTGTGAAAGGATGAGATGTTCCCTGATTTATTCTAACTACACTTCTACAATCCCTGTATAAACTTTTGCACACTTCGATGAGGTGTTCGCTTACTCCATATCTTGCCATTATTTTCCATAATAATTGTCTGTCGACTCTGTCAAATGCCTTCTCCTGGTCTACGAATGCCACAAATAAGTTCTTATTGTATTCAATGTTCTTTTCTATTAACTGTTTAAGTGTGAAGATTGCATCTGTGCAGCTTCTATTTCTCCTAAATCCCATCTGTTCTTCTGCCAGCTGTGGTTCTATCACTGGTCTCAGTCTTGTTTCTATTATCTTGGCATACATTTTGCCAACATGGCTTAAAAGAGAGATGCCTCGATATTGACCGCATCCTCGTTTGCTTCCTTTGTTCTTCCACAATGGTATAACTATTGCATGTTGCCAATCAATAGGGGCCGTTTGTTGTACCCATGCTGCATTGAATATTCTGTTGCAATCTTGTATTTCGCTGTTCTGTCTCGTAGTCCCTTAACATTGCCATGGTAAACTTCTGTTGCCTTCTGTAAACTGCTGCAAAAAGTTCTGGTTCTTTGTTCACCTGTGGACCTTGGTCTTGTTCCAGTCAGTTATGCAGGACTGTTTTTGATATATAAGGTCTTCCTATGCAGCTTTCATGGCCCTCCTGGGAAAAAAGCCATCTATATGTTATGTCTGGGGATGAATGATGAATGATTATAAACATATAGGTTGAATAGATTATCGAGGCACTCAACCGAATAATGACCCACAATTATCTAGGTCCAAAACCTACCCTTACTGGGCCCCAATTTTTCATCTAAGAAAAAAATTCATCCTAATTTTACATATCATTGAGGCCCT